TTTCCAATGTACATCCTGCAACCAGAGTTTGTTGAAGTTCAGCACACAATTACCACTATAGCCAGCATAAATGGCTCATCAATTTGTGAAACTGAATCATTGAGAAGCGAAACCTCCTCCATCTGCCATTTAAAACCATCCAAGATTGAGAAAATGCAGATGATATCAAATAAGGAAGACGGTAACAAAGGAAGATGCTAGGAATTTTGTTTGTAAACCAGATACCAAATGGTTTAATTAAATGTTCACCATTGGAGCAGCTTTCTGAATAACACTTATGGCCTCACGCAATACTAACTTCTCTGTTTCTATGACTTCTTTTTCTCTATCTTCCAAATTAACAAAACCAGCTACTTGTGTTGTTTCAAGAGCACCACTTTCAATGTCGTCCTCATTTCTTCCATTTTCTGTAAATATGGAGTCAAATAATTTACCAACAACATCATCGCTCACCAGCCTCAAACCTTGCAAAGAGATTACTAACCCACTTCCACCAAATTCCATCCATTTTAATGCCTCAACAAACCTCGTGTTCTCTCCATATGAGGAAAGTCGTACAAATATTGGGATCTTTACATTCTTAAACACAGAATCTGTTGTCATATCAAGCTTCTCTTCATCCAAATCGTACAAAACAAAGTCAGCTCCTTCAGACTTGGATGCATTTACGGCTGAAATTAAGGATTTTACGTTCCTTCCTACCAGAGGTAGAAACAGGGAATCTGATAAAGAATCCAGCATTGTGTTCCTGGCCACAATAGGAGGGAGACCTGATTCAAATGGAAACAAATTACTCAACGAAGCACAAATATATAGCAGTCCCAGTTCGTCTTTCCTGTGATTTAAAATTATGAAATCCTTATATTATATTCATCATAAACCATACTGTATATCTTCCATCAAGCAGGTGGCTTATACACGTTTTTCCCCCAAGTTTAAACTTCACTTAAAGAAAGATGCCCATTGAAAATTTGAGGCAACGAAAATCTTGGGATGACAGGAAGTATTTTTCTTACACAACCTTGATCAGAGAGGACAACTCCACTGGCATTGACGGCAGTCGCAATGTCAACACGCTCGGCTATCAAGAAATAAGCTCGGTCACCCACCACCGACTTCAATTTACAAGCAGCTTCGTAGAGCTTGCCACCGCCGCCTTCCCCACTATTGAGCACCACCATCCCAACCCACTTGGACAAAGACCTATCGATCAAATCCAAGTCCTCACCACCATCCAAGACCTCTGCTGCATCCAATTGCAGCACGACACTGGGCACATTGATCTCCGGCCGCTTGAACCCACTTGGGAATAGAGTTCTAGGCTGTGGCTTTTCCGGATTTTTAGGAATCGATTCGCTGGATTGAAATGGGTTCTGTGAAACGGAGTTTATGGAAAGACGATGGCGTCGACGAAGGGAGGTCCTGAGAAGAGGAGGGTGAGTTTGTAAGGGTGGAATTGGTTTGAGGAAGGGAGGAGAGGTATGAATGCGGAAGATGGAGTGGTGGTGGAACTGGAGAAGCACCGTCTCCATGAGCGTTGGAATAATTGGATGCAGCTTCCCGCTCTCGCTTATCATTAAAACTTGGTGATTTTTCTTCAAAAAGATATCATCTTATCCTCTTCAAGTGGCGAAGGCGAAGCTACTTTGAGATTTTCCTTTGTTCTTTTCCTCTCTTTACCAGTTTTTGTATCAATAGATAGATGTCAGGGTCACTAACCTACATGTATCTATGCATATCATATATGCACTTATACATGTATCTATACAATACATGTGTTTACTACTGACCCTTCAACAATATTTTGCTTCCATGAAAAAAAAGGAATACCCTGAAAAGCTAACACGTGTCCCTGATCTCAAAGCTGCCGAATTTGATTTCAGATGCAGTCACAAATCCTGACATGACTCTGTTTTCTGTTACCTTCAACTGACCATGCTACTTTTTTCCGATGCAACCTTCTGGATGGGCTGCGGCCGGAGCTTGGCTCAATATTTCAGTTCATTCGGCGTTTATGGATTGCGTACGATATTGTACTTCAAATACTTCAAAGATTTATAACTTGGTGCATGTACACTGCGAAAGTTGTAGGAACTTGTTTCCTTCGGTCTATTAACCTCTTGTTCATGATTTTCTTACCTTTTGGGTTTTAGGAGAAGGAAGGAAGTGTTAGAATGGAAACATTTTTATTCTCTCAATATTTATGGTTGTTTAACTTTGGCAGGGCAACTTAACTCATTCCTTCCAAGTCCTAAGCAACCCAATCCTTCCATTGAGAAAACAGGGTCTCTACTGCGCCTGCCAACCAATTTGCAAATGGCATGCTTTGTCTTTAAACTCATTTCATCCTACCATTTTCTTTTAATTGGTTGTTCATTGTCTGACCAGAATGATGAGATTCCCATGCTAACTGAAAACTTATCACCAATTGATATATAACTTTGAAAAATCTAATTCTCCAGAACTTTCTAAGATCAGAAGGTCAAAAGTATTCTTCAGGGTTTCTTTTGGTTTGGTTTGTTTAGTATGAGAAAGGGAGTGGAATGCTTTCTGAAGTGCTGGAGAAAATGAAGGATGTGATTTTAGTCTCTAATGCTTCTTGTCAAGCAATCTCTCTTTTGAACTCCATACCTCCTCCTCCTCTCTTCTTCTGTTAAGCTATGATATGTTTTGAAGGTCTTGTCGCATAAAACGACGTACCAAAAACTTGCTTTGGCGTGTAAAGGGAAAAAAAAGATGATCTAAATAAATTAGTTTATTTCTGAACTAAATAAATGCAGTGACGATCATCAAGTTACTTGATTACAGGAATGTAAAATGAAAAGATACTGAAGACCAGAGCTCTGAAATCTTCTGCTCCAAAATCACCTCTACTCTTCTTCTTGGTGGAGCTCATCAAGTGAGGTAGAAAAGCTAAAAAGATCAACTCTAGGTGTTCCACTGGTTTCTTCTTCTTCATCATCTTCTTCATCTTCTTCAGCAATGGCTGGTGGTGGTGAGGAGAAGTCCAAGCACATGCCTTGGATGACTTCCTCGTAAGATACAGAGAGGTCTTGGGATGTGAGTTGGTGATACTCCACAAGCTGGTGAAGGCATTGGTTTTCTCTTGTTAAGTTTGCATTTTCGTTTGCTAATCTGGATTTCTCAGCAAGTAGTGCCTCCATTTGAAGCCTAACCTGATATTCCATCAAACAAACAGACTCCATATAACTCATCATCTAATTTACACACCTGGGAATAATGAAGAACAAACAATCATAAACATAAATTTGGTACGGACCAGATCATCTTCTTCTGGTCTGACCCCTCTGGAAAACCCATCCCGAAGTCTTCTATTCTCTTCCTCAAGTATACCACATCGTTCTTGCATAAAACATAGATTGGATTTCAATGATTTCAATTCTCTTGCCAGAGAGGCTGATTTTGTTGCCATTGTAACTGCAAGCTGAAGAAACGCAGGCCCAAAAGTTAATATTGATCAAGAATGAGATTGGGTTGAGTGTTCAAATATAGATGAAAGGATAAGGAAACCAACAGTTTTGGCCTTTTGAAGCTTGTCTTTTGGGTTTTGCTGCTTATCTTTTTCTAAATCGACATCTGATTCTTCTGTGCAATGACTGTCATCAAATTTTCTCTTTGCTGCTTGCTTGGGCTCCTCCCACTCATTGTCTTTCCTTTTGGAAGCACCTCCCTCAACCTCCGAGTTCTTGAGGTTGCTCTGGAAGATCTCCGTCAAGGTTGGCGCTTTGACGAGATCCCTAGCGCCCTGAAACCATACCTCAAAATCAAATATCCATTTGTGGGGTTCAAGAGCAGAGTTTACTGAATTTGAATAAAAGAAGATTGCAAGTCCTTAAGGGAAACTATAGAACAAAGAAAATGGAAGGAATGAGTTTGACGTTACCTGTAAGGCACTATCCAAATTGTCGGACAGCTGAGATAGGGTATAGCCAACCGAGTCGAAACCCCTCAGCAAAAGCAAAGAATCTTCCTTCAATTTCTTTGCCCTTTCCGATTTGTTGGTGTTCTATCCCCACAAACCCATCAAAATTTTAGAGCTTGACTTGGCCCGAAAAGAGAAAGAAAATGGAAGAGAAAAGGCACTCACTAATTGGTGGGGCATGATAGGATCCAGATTTGAAGACTTTACATTCCGTTCCTCAAGAAGGGAGTCTATTCTACCTCGAAGGGAGCTCCAGAAACGCTTGTCGGAAGCCGGACTGAACAATGGGGAAGAACCCACGAAGCTGGTAGATCCCTGAAATCATTGCAGAAAATGCATTAGAAAAAGAAGAAGAAGAGCGAGAGGGAGAGAGAAGAAGAAGAAGAGCGAGAGGGAGAGAGAAGAAGAAGAACCTGGTTGGGATGTGAAGATGACGGAGAATCCACTGAGGCTGCCATGACTATGAGGATGAGCTAGAGGAAGGGGAATATGAATAAAGAAGAAGGGAAAAAGCAGATTGCAACGGCTAGTCTCGAAAAAACTAAAGATTTAAATAACAGGGTGGCGTCCAAAACCAACGTTCCGAATCTGCGTGAACTACTAATTTCAATTATTTTATGTGGCCATAATAAAAAGAAGTTACCTTTATTGAATGCTTTGTGTTTCAGTCAGCTGCTTTCCAAAAAGACAGTTCTTTTCACCGCTCATACAAGATAATAAATTCAAACCCAAACCATTTTAGGGTGTCTTAATATTTCATAATTTTCTTAAAGCTTCCTTCAGGACTTTGTCCATCGACTTTCCGGCCAGCAACCGGCGTCGAGAATAGCGCCTATTCCAGTTCCGGCAACGAGGTCGAAAGAATCGGAGATTCCAGCCTAGGGGCTAGGTCCTCTAGGTAAACAAGAGAGGCAGCAGCTACAATGGCGGTTGTTCCACCGCCGTCAATTGTAAGAATCCGAGTCTTGTTGGTGGTTTGGCACTGGGAAAGCCGTTGATTCTTTTAGCTCCATGGGGGATAAAAGAAGAGAGTGGAGATCTGGTGGTTATGTGATAATACGTTGCTATTAAACGAACAAACAGTCCGCAGAAGGAATTATTCATTAAAAAAAGTATTTTTAAAAGAAAAAAAGTTGAAAAAATTGAAAATTTTGGTGGAAACGAGGATGGAAGCAGGTGGGAGGAGGTGTCCGGAGGCTTTTATCCTTTTTTTTATTTTTTATTTTTTACTTTTTAACCTTCCCGTCTTATCTCTATCAGTTGGCGCCGCTGGCATAGTACTGTATTCCTCGCGTTCGCAATTCAATTTCTTATCCACAACTTCTCAACTTCTAACCTTTCCCCTTCATCATCTCTATCATCTTCACTTCATTCATTTCGGTTTTCATGGCGACGCCTTTCTCCTCCACCACTTCTCTCCGTTCTGTCTTCCGACCCAAACAAATCCCCCCTCCCAAAGCCCTCCTCTCCATCCGAGGTACGTCTACCTCGCTCTTCAACCCAAATTTGCTTTCTCGTTTTTGCTTTCTTTACTGCAACGCTTCTCCTTCTAGATTATAATGCAGGCTTAAATTGCATCAAATGCGGCTCCACTACCACGCCTCTTTCTTCATGGAAATCAGCTTCAAACTATATCCGGATCAGGCGACATGCCCTAATGCTTCCTACCCAGCCCTTTCAATCAGGGAATCTGTCGAAATACAGGCAAGCCCATTTATTTTATTTCATTTACTTTCTTACGGACCTTGCCGCCCTAGAGAAATGGTAAACATACAAGCATTTTGCATATTTGGATTGATCATTGCCTTATTGCTACCTGAAGTTGATTGTGGTGGCTTTTCAGTTGTATTGATATTCTTCTCCTCCTCTTTTTGGCTATCAATTTTTTTTAGAAGAGGAGTCATAAGGGCCGCAACTATCGAAGAAATTGAAGCGGAGAAAGCATTGATTGAGAAAGATGTAGTGAGTTCCTATGATCATTGATTTGGAGAGTTGCTGCATCTTTTAATAAAGCAATCTAAATTTAGGAAAAATTGTGCCAATAATCATCCAATTACTTTCCAGAGAGCAAGGATGGAAAAGACTATCGATACTGTTCGGTCTAGTTTCAACTCAATAAGGACAGGGAGAGCAAACCCTGCTATGCTCGATAAGATTGAGGTATTGGCAATTCTTAAATTCGGGTCGCTTAGTGGATAGCTGCCTCAATATGTCTGCTTAGAACTTTCTTTCTTTCTTTCTTTCTTTCTTTCTTTCTTTTTTTCTCAAATTTCAAATGAGTATCATGACAATCAAAATTTTATTTGCCGCTTTCATGATTTTTCAGGTGGAGTATTACGGCAGTCCAGTTGGCCTGAAGAGCATTGCCCAAATTAGTACACCTGATGCAAGCTCTCTCTTGATCCAGCCATATGATAAATCCAGGTATTCCATGTGTCAATTGGCTGAGTTGAATAGATTTTGGAAATCTTTTGGGATTTATTGGTCATTGGTGTGTGCCCGTTACCTTATAAAAATCAAACACTATACCGATTAAGTTCTTGCAAATCTCTGTTATGTTAGAATCATACCTTTTACCATGAACCCTTGAATATTGAGGATGTTCCTCAATCTTTTATACGTTTGAAATCTATACATGTTACTATTCTTAGCTTGCTTTTCTTAGAGGGACCTACTTAAGGCTTCAGAATTTCGTCATTGTAATTCCTGTTTTTCTGTATAAAATGTTTCGCATGGACCCATTAGATCTTCTCTAATCTTCAGTTCTTTGCGTTCATTGGTTGAGACTGCTGTGGACATAATAATCATCCTATTATCATTAGCTGTAGAATGATGTTATCCAGCTTTACAGTGTAATATTTGTATAATGTTTCTGGCTATCAGCATTAACTCTTAACGAGTCACCATCTTCAGCTTAAAGTCAATAGAGAAGGCCATAGTAAACTCTAACTTGGGAATGACTCCAAACAATGATGGAGAAGTCATACGGTTGACTCTCCCTCAACTCACATCCGAAAGGAGAAAGGTATTTTCCTCAACTCACATTATTAGCAAGTGAATGTGGATGATAAAGGCAGAGCCAGAAATTTTCTTGAAGTTGCAGAAGTTTACATTCTAACTTTTTATACCTGTCATTTTTCAATTTTGCAAAACCTTTTCATTTTTTTTTTTTTCCATATTGAATATTGAAAAGTAATAAGAATTAGAGGTGTTAAGCTGGGGTAAATAAGAGAAAAAAAATTAATCTCCACTATTTATATAATTTTTTAATCTAGATTGCCCCTCCTTCCTTATTCACACTGCCTCTGTGGATGATATATTTGCGTACTTTACACTGCAGGAATTGTCAAAGGTTGTTGCTAAGCAGGCAGAGGAAGGGAAGGTATGGTTTCATTTTTCCTTTATGGGAAGGGGGTGGAGATGAAAATAGATTGAGATATATGTCCTGATCCAGGTTGCAATGAGTTTATTTGTCGTGACTCTTGGGATCTATGCTTAAACAGCTACTGATCATGAACTCTGAGATGACATCCTGCATCTTTCTGTTTACAGGTGGCGGTGAGGAATATAAGAAGAGATGCCTTGAAAGCCTATGACAAACTGGAAAAGGTCAGCAAAGCATACATCTTTATACCTTAATCTTATGGTGCTTTTCTTTCGCTTCTATGTTTTATTGATCTGCCTTCTAAAGAGCAAGCTCCGTTGTCTCTTGTATGGTTTTACTTCTTACTGGTTTCCTTAATGTTTTTATCTTTTGTATCAGGAGAAAAAACTTTCGGAAGATAATGTTAAGGACTTGTCAAGCGATTTGCAGGTTTGTTATTGTTTCTGTTGTTTAGGGCTTTTGATCCTAATCAATTTTGAGTTGGAATTTGAATACGTTCGCATAAAGGCCCAGATAGGAGTGGAGGATGTAATTCCTTCTGAAGGCATCATGCCTTGTTCTTGTTTGTGCTAAATTTTGGTTAAATCACAAGCTGTTGGGAAACCAGATGTATTCATTACATAAAAGATGACGAAGAACTTTCTTGTAGTTATTTAGTGTCGAATTTATATATTAGGGGATTTGTTTCTCCGGTGCCCGTATTGTGATTTGATTTCTTAATGTTTCATTTGTAATTGCATCGTATTTTGGTTATCTCAAGCTAAGATGATTTCGTAGTGCAGAAACTGACAGATGACTATATGAAGAAGATTGATGTCATATACAAGCAGAAAGAGAAGGTATGATCCATCTCGACTGTTCCTTTCTCTGGGTATTAGAACTATAATCTTTAAGCACGAGCATTGGTAGGTTTTTTATTTGGGATCTCTTCATTTCACGAAGTGCTTACAAGGCACTGAACTTACTTCGTTATCACAACAATATTTTTCCAGTGGTTGAGTGAACATGAATTTGCAAATTGTATTTCAGGAGTTGTTGAAGGTGTGAGCAGAAGAAGCAAATGGTGGAGGTGTTCCCCTGCTGATCTGTGTCAGATGTGCAATTGTTGGTTTCTTTTTCTCCTGAATAGAGTTTTGATGTCATTGTTAGAATCAAACCGTTTCTTTTTCATTTGAAATGAGATTCAACGCCTCGTGGGAAGAAAGGGGAATATGCATGATGCCTCTGTTGTCAAATTGGCTCATCTCTAACTTCTCACTCTGTACATTGAAACTGACATTATGACTACAACACACTCATTTTGACTCGGCGTTCAACTGTTGAGCTTGAGTTTAATGTGCCTATTGAACATAATAATTTCTCCTCTCCTTCCATTGTTACACAAAAATCATTTTCTAAATGTTGCAGTTTTTTAAAATGTAATAAATGTAGTGCTCAAATTAATTTAGGTGCCCTCTCTCCGCTTCTGTTGCAGTCGGTAATGTGCAGTTTTCTTGAGTTATTCTCGTTCCTGATTCCTATCAATAAATGATGGTTCTACAAATTTGGAGTTAAAAGGGTTGGGGTATTAGTTATAATCCAAGGGGTTTGGTTGGTTACAGGAATTTGGGTGGTATCACTTCCATGCACCAAATTATACTCAATTTTCTTTTCTCAACTGCCTTCTTCCCTATTAAGCTGTACTCTGTTATCATAAATTGTACCAAACAAATTATTGCGTGTGGAGAAAGACGCTCTCAATTATCCAAGTTTGACCTAAATTTCGTGGATGACTTGATTGTTTTCAGTAATTATAGATCAATTAATTTTACCTAAATGTGATGAACAGTGGACAAAAATTGGGGAATCACACTTATTAGTATTATTCTTGAAATAAAGATGTGATATATATGAGAAGTGATAAAAATGTTAAAAAGAAAAAAAGAAACTATATGAAAAAGAAAAGAAAGAAAGACGGGAAAATGAGAAAAGAGTAGGAGAGGGGGTGGAAAAGGACGGGAGTAGCCTCAATTCCACAGTTCTGGATGATCCTGTAGGCGTATGAGCGGGAATCTCATGGGAACTCCTTTCTGTCCTCTTCCTTCTCTGTTTACCTTTTAAAATGCCTTCCTCTTTCGCTAACTTCATCTCAGCGGCAGCGCCAAAACAAAACACACCACCATGTCCTCCTCCTCCTCCTCTCTCTCTCTTTCTCGCCATTGCCTGTCTTCTTCTTTTTCCTTCCGTCTCCCAAACCTCTTCCCACCACCTGCACCCGGTAACTTGCTCCGCCCCGCCATGCATATCCACACGCACATCTCCTCCTATATATATATATATCTACTCTCTATTCTTCTTTCTTCACTTCCCATTTCATCTTTTCATGTTTTTCTCCACCCCCCCCCCGCATGCTCTCCAACCCTCGTCTTCTTCTTCTTTAAAATTAAAAAAAAAAAAAAAAAGCGCTCGGATTTTTCTCTGTCTTTTACTCTCATGTCTTCCGCCTATCCCACATCACCACTAATATATAATTCAACACATCTTAATTAACAACAAATCTCTTATCTTCTTTAATCCATTTTGACATGCATAGGTGGCTGTTCGCTGAGGGTTAAAGACAAAGGCCCTGTGCTGGAATCAAGCATCCGATGCATTATCAAATGCAACGCCATTTCCAAGCCTCCCACTCAAGGTATTTCACTACGCTTCAATTCACAATAACCTTCCCTCTCCAAAATCCTTATGTCTCCCTAACCCGCAGACTACAGCGATGTGCTTCAAAGTGGAGTGCCACTTCTAAAGTGGCAGCAGTTTGTGGAGGACGGCATAGAATCAGAAACCGCTGCCCAGGTGCTTCTTCCCCTTACATTTCTAACCCCTTTAAAGTACTACGACGTTGGTTCGTATTCTTGTTTCTGGGTGCGCCATGATGCATGTAAATTAGTGTAAAATCAGGTGTCGGTTTGGGAAGAGATAGAGGAGCGAGTGAAGTGGATAAAGTCAATGCTGAGTTCAATGGACGACGGTGACATAAGCATCTCAGCTTATGACACGGCTTGGGTGGCTCTAATACCAAAAGTTACGGAGGAGGGAGTGAAGAGTCCGCAGTTCCCTTCTTCCCTTGAGTGGATAGCCAAGAATCAACTCCCGGATGGGTCGTGGGGCGACGCCCAGATATTCTCACCCCACGATCGCATCATTAACACATTGGCTTCTCTGGTCGCCTTGAAGTCTTGGAATCTTCATCCCCAAAACACACGGAAAGGTCCTTCTCCCTCCCAACGCCACTTCTAACTCAACTAATTTGTGTTAATCTCCATTTTTTAACTCAACTCTAGGAATAGCCTTCTTCAACCAAAACATCTGGAAGCTGGAAGAGGAGAATGCGGAGCACATGCCAATCGGGTTCGAGATTGCTTTCCCTTCCCTACTCGAATTTGCCAAGAAACTAAAGCTGGGAATCCGGAGCGACTCCCCGGCGTTGCAACAGATTAATGCCCGCAGGGCCCTAAAGCTTGCGAGGTACATTGTTGTATGTTTAATTACAAAAGTAAATGGGAGAAGGGGGAGGAAAGTTGAAAGAAGGGTATACAGAAAATAGAAAAAGGAGTAATTAAAAAGGCAACAAATGTGTGTCCAAAACAGGATACCAAAGGACATAATGCACAAACTGCCAACCACGCTACTGCACAGCTTGGAAGGCATGAGTGGTTTGGATTGGGAAAAGCTTCTAAAATTGCAATCTCAAGACGGCTCCTTCTTGAGCTCCCCAGCCTCCACTGCCTTCGCTCTCATGCACACCAACCACCCAAATTGCTTCAAATATTTGGAAGCGTTAGTGCACCGCTTTAATGGTGGAGGTAAAACTTGGGTCCTTTTTTTCTTTTTTTTTCTTTGTTTCTTCTTTTCCTTTTCCTTTATAGAATTTGTCTCATTCTCATTTAAAATTCAGTACCCAACGTGTACCCTGTGGACCTGTTCGAACACATTTGGGCTGTGGACAGATTGCAACGACTTGGAATTTCTCGATTCTTTCACCCACACATTGTTGAGTGTGTGAATTATGTGCGCAGGTGCTACCAAATTATAACTAAATTTAATTGGACATACCGTAATCCAAAACTTGAGGTTCATTTGTGCAGACACTGGAGTGAAAAAGGAATATGCTGGGCCAGAAATTCGGAGTTTCGCGACATTGATGACACGGCCATGGGATTCAGACTGCTCAGACTGTACGGCCACGATGTTTCGGCGGGTAACTATGATTGTAATTAAAACTATATTATGAATGAGATGAGATGAGATGAGATGAGATGAGATGGAACGAAACAGAGGTGTTTAAGCATTTCGAGAAAGATGGGGAGTTCGTGTGCATAGCGGGCCAGTCAACGCAGGCGGTCACCGGAATGTTAAACTTGTACCGAGCTTCGGATCAGGTAATGTTTCCGGGGGAGAAAATTCTAGCGGACGCCAAACAATTTGCCTCCAAGTTCCTCAGGCAGAAACAGGCCGCCAATCAGCTCTTAGACAAGTGGATCATCACCAAGGACTTGCCTGGAGAGGTAAACCCAAATTACTTTCAACATTTAACCTTCTCACTTTCACGAGGGACTTCACGACTTTCCTGTTGCCCGCAGGTTGGTTACGCTCTGGACGTTCCATGGTTTGCAAGCTTGCCTCGGGTTGAGACCCGTCTCTACATACAGCACTATGGTGGCAAAAATGACGTCTGGATTGGAAAAACTCTCTACAGGTATTATTATTATTTGTGTGTTTTGTCTGCATTCATTCATTCATCGCTTACATTAATGAACATTTCAGGATGTTCAAGGTCAACAACGATACATACTTGGAGCTTGCAAAATTGGACTACAACAACTGCCAACGACTGCATCAGATTGAGTGGGTTGATATTCAAAAGTAATCTAACGCCCCAACCTTGTACCATATATTTAAATACCTTATGATCCATCAATTCATTAATCAACTACGCATGGGGGCTCAGATGGTACACAGAAAACAAGCTGCGAGATTATGGAATGAGGAGAAGCAGCCTTTTGTTCTCATATTTTGGTGCAGTGTGTAGCATTTTCGAACCAGAGAGGGCCAAGGAGAGGCTGGCATGGACCAAAACTGCTGCTTTGGTCCACACCATTGCATCCCATTACAAGGATGCCAATGCCCACCAACGACGAGCCTTTCTCCAACAATTTACCAACTTTCATGCTGCTCAGCCATACGATAATAATGCATGGTATGTCTCCTTTTTCTTATTCTTTTTTTATGTGGCTAATTTTGTGGCATCCTTTGTCTGTATTTGTGTCAATATCTTCGTGGATGCTTGTGTTTCGATCAATATTCTTGTACAACCATCGTGGGGTTTTTGTTTTATGCTTCGTCATGAAATGGGAGTCCACTGGAAACAACGCATTAATATTATTTATCCTAAACATTTCTATATATGCCCTCATCGCTTTGAAATTACCAAGAATCTCACCAAGGAAAGAGCCTTTATTATATCTGCTAACCCCCTTTAATTAGTGTTATTATATTATTAACATTTAGGAGGAATTCACTCAAACATCAAACCGTATTCTTGAATATTAGTGTTCTACTGTTGTTGTTTTTTTTTTTTTTTTTTTTTTT